GAGCCGTTCCCAATCTGGAACGTGCCGTTCCAAACCACCAAAATAGCCTATAACCCTAGTTGGGAACGGGTCATTCCAAATATGAACGTTGTGAGTTAAAACTTATCTCCAGAACGGGCTATTCTGGTAGTGAAGAGAAATTCCAGGCTCCGAGAAGAAGAAAATGGAGAAGAAGAGACTTGAAGAGAATCTCCGCACGGCTCAGCTAGCTTCCAACACTACTACTCAGCACCTCCACCTAATGGTTCCCGAAAAGACCAAAGACAAGGAGAGAATTAGGCAAAATGAGAGTGAAAAAGTGGGGAGAATAAGGTGGACAGAAAAGTGAGTGAGAGAAGAGAGTGAAAGAGAGTCGGCGAGAGAAAAGAAGGAAAGGGGGTCTCACAACCTCCCCAACAACAAGAGTTTTCGTCCCTGAAAACAGACTTACTTGGGAATAAACACGGATACCGCTCCCTGCACTACTGCTCCACCTCCCAAGTAGCCTCACCCGTAGCTGCATCCCACAACACCTTCACCAGAGCAATAGACTTGCTCCTCAACTCCTTCAGCTTATGATCAACCACAGCTATCGGCAACTTCTCAAAAGTCAAGTTCTCCTTCACCCGCACATCATCCAACTCCACCACATGACCAGGGTCATGAACATACTTCCTCAGCTGGGATACATGAAATACATCGTGTAGGTTTGAAAGAGACGGTGGCAAGGACAACCGATAAGCAACCAGACACACACGTTGTATGATCTGATAGGGACCAACAAACCTCGGTGTCAACTTCCTTGCATTCAGCGCTCTACCAACACCAGAAGTCGGGGTCACCTTCAAAAACACATGCTCCCCTCCAGTAAACTCCAAAGGCTTTTGCCTTTTATCAGCATACGATTTCTGCCACTCCTGAAATCCATAAATAGAGCACTCTAGCACTGTTTCTGGACACACTCTCTGGAGACCAAGGAGAACCAAGAGAAGGAGATCAACCAGATTCCACTCTAGCTTTAATTTTTATTAATTTTTTATCTAATTCCGTTTTTATCTTTTCTAATTTATTTATGAATCATATTTTAATATTTTTAAAATAAATTATCAATAATTAAAAATTATACTGCAATATAAATTATTTATCATAAACCTAAAATATAACTTATATATTTAAAATTATTTATTTATACAAATTTTAAATAGAATATATATATTCAAATTAAATTTTACTTGTATATAGAATTTTATAAATTTTAGAAACATAAAATATATATTTAGGCATGTAACACCCCATTTTTTATAAAATATAATATAAGTATTTTATTAATAATTTTGATATTTTTATTTTAGTAGTAAGGGTTGTTAAATATTTGTTTTAATTATTTAATATATTTTATGTAACACCCCGATTTTCATACTTTTTATTAAGGGTGATTTAGTAATTTTCATAAAATTTATTAAGGGTGACTTAGTAGCCCAGAACGAGTAGTTCCAAACTACTAAAAAAAACCTATTTTTGGTAACCTAGAACGAGCCGTTCCCAATCTGGAACGTGCCGTTCCAAACCACCAAAATAGCCTATAACCCTAGTTGGGAACGGGTCATTCCAAATATGAACGTTGTGAGTTAAAACTTATCTCCAGAACGGGCTATTCTGGTTTGAGAACGGGCCGTTTCAGATGTGAATTTTCCACATGATGAAAGGATCCAAAACCGGTCGTTTCGAATCTGAAACGGCCCGTTCTGGCCACTCCTGAAATCCATAAATAGAGCACTCTAGCACTGTTTCTGGACACACTCTCTGGAGACCAAGGAGAACCAAGAGAAGGAGATCAACCAGATTCCACTCTAGCTTTGTCTTTTGCTTATCCAGGTAAAGGGGAGTGAGAAACCTCGCTCGGGGGTGTGGGAATAATTGTTGGGTAGTATGATTGGCCCCCAATCCCTTGCTTGATGCATGCTTCTAGGAACAGACAAAATATGAATGTTTTCTGTTTTGTCTTCTGATTGTTCTATTGTGTTCCTTGTTGGATGTGATGTATGAATATATGATTAATTTTAAAAGTAAACAAGTTTTGATATGAATTAGAGTGCTCTATGGGTTCCCGAGAAAACCCTATGAGAAACAGGCCAAATATGAATGTTTTTTGTTTTTCCTTCTGATTATTCTGTTGTGTTCCTTGTGTGATGTAGAGTGTAAATATGTATTTGATTTCAAAATTAGATATTATAATGACCATACTTAGTCTTGAAAGCAGTCTTCGGTATGTCACCCTCTTTCACCCTGATCTGGTGATAACCTAACCTCAAGTCAATCTTGGAAAATACAAATGCTCCCCTCAATTGATCCATTAAGTCATCTATCCGGGGAAGTGGATATTTGTTCTTAATGGTCAACTTTTTCAACTGCTGGTAATCCACACAAAGTCGACTACCTCCATCTTTCTTCTTCACCAACAACCCAGGAGCACCCAACGACGAAACACTCAGCCGCACCAACTGCTTTTCCAATAGGTCCTCCAACTAACCTTTCAACTCAACCAATTCAGCAGGGGTCATCCTATAGGGAGCCACCGACACTGGCCCCACACCTGGAACCAAGTCAATGCTAAACTCCATCTCCCTAACAGGAGGCAACCCAGGTACCTCATCAGGAAACACCTCAGCAAAATCCCTCACCACATCAATCTCAGCAATGACCCTCTCGATCTCCACACTCATTGCAGCAAGCAGAAGATAGCACTCTGCTCCATCTTTCAACAATGATTCAGCTTGGCCAGCTGAAATCAACAGCTCCTCCTCCACCTGAGGAAAGATCAGCCTCCTATTGGTACAATCTATAAGGATGCGATTGGCAGACAACCAATCTATCCCCAAGATTATGTCAATATCCACCAAAGGTAAACAAATCAAGTTCACCTTGTACCTCTTCTCATTCACAACAATCAACAAAGAAATCAGCACAACAAAAGCCTAAAGGGACCACCCCCACAGAGTGTTCCACTAGACTCGAACTGCTCTGATACCACTAAAGTGTAACGACCCGACTGGTCACTACACATAGCACAGCACACCAGAACAGCACACAAAAAAGAACAAGTATATACATATGGTGTCTAGAATATATATATATATATATATACAAGGTCCAAATCTGGCTAGAGTTAGAGTGTACAAAATACATCCAACAATGCTACACTAAGTAGCTAAATACAACAACAAATACAAACGTCATCTGCCAGCTGCAGACTCTCCTCAGCACACCAACCTAACCTTGTTCTGCTCCCATACATAGTATGATCATCGCAGTCCAAACCACATGGAAACAATAAAGGGTAAGCTAGTGAAAAGAATCGACATACATATATAAATATATGAATGGTAAACAGCTACAGCTATCAGCACATCAACCAACTTAACAACATCAGCTTAATATATATAACAGCACACATCTCACATCATTCAGCAATAACAGCAGTAAATGGCAGTACACAGCGGTAAACAACAATAAACACACAATGCGTCGTCACGCATATAAGTTAGTATTGGTTGCTTGTAAGCGGTATAGCTCGACCTGGCCCCTATACCGTGGTCTCTTTGTACACGTGTGCCTCGACCTTGCCCACACACGGGACCACTAAGAATCTAGAGGAGAACAGCAAGTTACCACTCCAAGGGTCAGCTTTCCAGGGAGGGTTTTCAACAAATTGGGCTCGAAGAGCACCACAGCCGCTACATCCACACAATGGGATGAGGTAAATTTCAAAAACAACTCCTCTAGTCTTAGTGATCAACAGCTCAAACTTACGACCTACAACAGCTCCTATCAGCACGGAGCACAACACTGCATAGCAGCAATAACGGCACCGCATAACGGCAATAGCAGCATCACTTAGTGGCAATAACAGCACCGACTTAGTGGCTATAACAACACCACTTAGTGGCAATAACAGCACAGACTTAACAGCTATAACAGCACCAGCTTAGCGGCTATAACAGCACCGACTTAGCGGCTATAACAGCATACAACTCAGCACAGCACAACAATATCAGCATCCAGCACAGCTAAACACTTACAGCACAGCAATATACATCAAGTACAGCTTAACATCATAATGCAACATAAACATCTCACAGCACATCAAAATCATCACTCAGCTCAACAACATTCATCATTAACAGCTTTAATCAGCCTAAACAACATTCGACACAGCTCAGCTTAATAGCAATAACAGCTCAAACAATATACAGCACAGCCCACACTAGTGCAAAAATAGCTTTTAAGATCAGGGTTTTAAATTCGGTTAAGGGGGAACCGATTTTAAAAGAAAGGCGGTGACATTTTTGTAATTAAAATCACTACTTTTAAAATCGGTTAAATTTTAATCGATTTTAAAACCCCTTTTAAAATCGGTTATCATATAACCGATTTTAAAAGGTGCCTTACTTACTACTTTTAAAATCGGTTGTTTTAGAACCGATTTTGTATATAGTATACAAAATCGGTTCTAAAATAACCGATTTTAAAATGTATGTTGTGTTTCAATTTTTAAGATCGGTCTTATAAGAACCGATTTTATATCTGCGTTCTTTCAACTTCATTATTCACTCTCTCGTGCTTCCAAGAGCAGAAGGAGCGTTATTCACTCTCTGGTGCGTGCAGGAGCAAGGACGAAAGGAGAACAAGTCGTAGGAGAAGCGTTGAAGAAGCAGTAGAGAATTTACCTTGACCGGAGCACCGAGAACGATTAGCATTTTCCTCCGTCTTCACTTATGCCTGCAGTCTTCACTGTCTGAGCTTTGTCATGGTTGTCATGGTCACGATTAGCATTTTCCTCCCGTCGGGCTCCCTCGCCAAGAGGTATGTGCTTCCCGTGGGTTAGGGTTTTGTCGCGGACGCCACCGCCATTGATATAGGATTGAGTGTGTGTTATTTAACTTCTTATTGTTTGTTTTGTTGGTGGCTACTTACTAGTTACTGAATTGATATATATATTTTACTTGGGTAGGAGGTTTTAAATTTTGTGACTTCATGTGTACATACACTCTTCTGCTTTCTAGATGTAAACATGGTTGAAATGTGTTTATGAATTTCTTCATGGATATGTTTTTCGCATTCTTAATATGTTACTTAACTAGGTTTACAAATTAGGTCCATTTTTTGAGAAATGACAGCTTAGTGTTCTCTTGAGAAACTGCTTCCTGATTCTCTGTTGAGCTGGTAAATGCATTTGGTGAGCTTTAGTTGGAGGAGTGTAAAAAGAAGATGGAGAGATTTTTTTGCTTGTGTCATGTTGATTTTTTCGTTTTTATCATCTCTATTTTGGTATTCTTAATTCTTGAACTGTTGGCATTTGGTTTTGTGCAGTATGCTCACAGGAAGTGTGTCCAGCACTGGTGTGATGAGAAAGGAGACATAACTTGTGAGATATGTCATCAGGTATGCATCCTGTACAATAGTTTTCATATTCCATTGGCCTTGTTTATTGTAAGGTTATGTTGGTGGGAAATTATGTGAATGCTTATTTTAAAAGTTTATAGTTATACCCTCCAATAACAGCTACCTTAACTCTCATTTTTACACCCTGCTGCCGGTATCACCCTCTGCATACATGTCCTCCTTGAACAAAATTCTAGACCTCTCATGCCCACTGATTTTAGAACAATTGTTTGCTAGCTGTACCTCTAACTGGCATCTCTCCTTTATAAGATACCTTTCCATTTTCCCTTCTTGAAAAAGCCAGACACTGACTTGGCCTTCCTTTTGTTAACAATAGGGCTTCGTCACTTAAAGTTGGGACCAAGTCATTGTCTATGTGATGCATGGATTTAAAATAATCTGTGTATTTGATTTTTCAATTCAAAACCACTTTGTATTCCTTTATTTGTGTGATAATGGCTAAACTGGGGAATTTATAAGAAAAGGTTGTCTTGATTCTTAAACACTTCCTTTACTTGTGAATTTGAGATTCCTACATGTTTTTGGATGGGGATTTTAGGATGGGATGCCTGCTACCTTACCAAACATTGGCAACTTGTGTAGGCATTCGAGATATTTTGGTATTTTAAATACCTGTATAAGGATGCATTGTTCATGTGTATTATGTTAATTTTGTGTTTATTTTAATGGGATTTTTTTTCTTCCCATATTTATGCATGTAACTCAGCCTTATCAACCCGGCGTTGTAGGAACTAATGTACTTGCCCTTGGTACTGATCTTCCCATATTGATTTAGAGAGCTTGCTATTCAAATTGCTGAGCAGTTTGAAGCTCTAGGTTCTGAAATTGGTGTCAAGTGTGCTGTGGTGAGTTTCAGTATAATTTTTTTAAAATGATTCACTGTTTATTATTTTATTATTATAAACAGTATTTTTTTTTGAAATTAAGTGTGTTGTGCTCTAGGAAATCAGTATTGACTAATCTCATAGAACAACTAATTATTTCCAAGGCCATGGGGGAAAAATTGAACAGTCTTCATGATCATAGGTATTCTGAATATTATGTTTTTATAATGTAACTAGCAATCAGCTAAAGGACTTGATTATTACAATGTTGATAAGACTGAATTCAGGCTTTGGCCATTGCATGCCAATTTTTTTTTGTTTTTGAATTAACAACTTCTTGAATTGATAGAGTGCACGAAAATACTGCACTGGCGTTTGTCTTTATTGACCAGAATACACAACTTGTTAAAATTAGTCCTTGTTGCATACCATATAACATCCCTCTGCTCTGTCAGTGAGGAGAGAAAAATGAAAGGATTTGATAGAAATTTCATAAAACCCAGAATTTCTCAGTGGAAACCGGGTCCAACACTCCAATCCAAATCACTATATGTACATACACTACATTTTATAGCATAAAATAGACCCTACTTGGATAAATTTCTCTAATGAATATTTATTATAAAAGATCTCTCATATAGCATCTCCAAAAGCTGACTTATATATAGTGTGTGTTGTGAAAAGACTTTGGAGGAATTTATAAGCTAATTCTGCCAAATTAATTTGTTTTTTTGGTACGTAAAAGATAATTTTTGCTACATACCAAAATAAACTTATTTGGT